TGTTTGTGTTCAGGGGGAGATCGGCAGGGAGATGTACATCATCAAGCAGGGCGAGGTCCAGGTGGTGGGAGGTCCTGACCTGCAGACGGTGTTCGTCACCATCAGAGCCGGCTCAGTGTTCGGAGAGATCAGGTCAGTCGTCCTGTGAGCCAATTACAGAGCAGTAACACTGATGACAGATCAATACCTGGGCGGTCACATGACTGGTGGAGGAGCAGCGCCGCAGACTGAAACATAACAACTCGGCTTGTTAGTGGTTAACAGTTAATCGGTTAACTGCTGTGACTAAGTTGGTTTATTAAAACTGGAGCAGCTTGAGTCTGCAGCAGAGGAAGCTGCAGCTTCAGGATCACATTTCAGGACCATTTGTTTCCCAACAGCGCCATCTACTGACCTGGAGAACTAAGAGCGTGTCCAGTGGCCAGACCCTGACCTGGACAACTACAAAACTAACTAAAACTGAGTGTGAACCCAGTTTTCTTTGTGTTAACAGTAAAAACAACGGTAGTACCTGATGGAGGAGTCGTGTCTCGCTTCCTCTCCTTTCAGATGTCTGACATCTCGTCACCACAGCAGATAACTACGTCAGCAATCTACCTGATAATGACGTATTTATGCTAATTACACAGTTTGCTTCACAAGCCACTAAGTTAAAAGTGTTTTAGGCGGAATAAGGATTTAAAGTATGAGCACTTGGACAAACAGTCGTGTTGTAAATGGAATAAATCTTGAAGCGCTGCTTCAGTGTAAAACTAACCTCCTGAACCGTCCTGAAGCTGGAGCCTCCTCCACACGTGCTCGGTCCAGGAACCATAAAATGATGTCTTCCTGTTCTTGTTTGTTAAAACAACAGTTCTGACTTTGTCTCTGCCCTCTGATTGGTCAGTCTGCTGGCGGGCGGCGGAGGAAACCGGCGCACAGCCAACGTGAAGGCGCACGGATTCGCCAACCTCTTCATCCTGGACAAGAAGGACCTGGCAGAGATCCTGGTCCACTACCCCGAGTCCCAGAAGCTCCTCCGGAAGAAGGCCAAGTAAGACGGAGACCCGGTCAGAGCTGCTGGTTCCGAGTTTATCAGAATCCAGTTGATCTCATCCTGGTCTGGTGCTGGTACACATCACAGTATAAGAACTCATCATCACAAGGAAGTCTGTCAGCAAAGGTCCCCGTCCAGCACCAGCTCAGGCTTTGAGGTTGATAGTTTTCATTTTCACTCCTCCGACCCAGTATGCCGGTTCTGACCACTGACTGGATCCACAGATGTCTGAACCCTCAGTGATGTCACCTGTCGGTTTCCTTTAAGATAAGATCAACTTTATTCATCCCAGAGGAAATTGTTTGGAGCGATGCTGAAGCTCAGAAACAGCTCCGGGTTGTGGACTGTACCACCTGTTACCCAAAGCAACCCTTAATTCTGCAGAACCTTAAGCATCGGTACAATTCAGACAGTGAGTTTATAAAAGTTCTCCCACATACAGTTGTCTTGAATGGAGAGATTAGCTGTAGAGACCAAACTGGGTTCAAAACCAAGTCTTAAACATGGCTAAACCAGTTTAAAACCAGTTTAAAACCAGTGTAAATCATGACCATAAGCAGGTCCAGACCCAGCACTAAACCAAGTCTAAAACTCGATCAAAACCAAGTCCCAAAAAAGTCCAAATCCAGACAAAAAGCAACACAAAAAAGGCCCAGTGCCAGTCCACAGTGGGATCATATCAAGTCTACAATAAGTCCAAAACCAAGACCAAAACCAGGTCCAAAACTTAAAGCAAAAAGCATCAACAGCATTAATTATGTAGCAAATTCAGTTTTAATATTGTTCTATAAAAACTCTCGTCCCCTTCGTCACAAACAAGGAACTGAACTGTCGAGGCCAAAACAGTTTCTTGCACCAACGTGTTTGTTTCTGCTGTGAATTTGTACGTTACAATCTGGAGGTCTGGGGGACCAACTCTCTTTTGGAGCCTCTAGTGGCCATCGGGGGGACTGCAGGCTGCTGCTGGGTGCTGACTCATACACCTGTACCTGTACCTGTACCTGTACCTGTAGCTGTACCTGTACCTGTACCTGTACCTGTAGCTGTAGCTGTACCTGTACCTGTACCTGTACCCGTAGCACTGTTCAGTTGGCTGACAGGGTGAAGGATTGGTGTCAAAGTTCAGTTCTGGTCCCAGAATGTGTTCACAGACATTTATAAACAAAATAATTGTAGTTTTTAATAATGACCAACAGGATGACGGCTGTGCAGAAATATTCTGGGATGTTGCGTCCACAGATACAATCCTTCACACAGAAACCTTCCTGACCAGCTCACAAGCAGCAGATCTAGTCCTTCATGACTGTGAACATCCAGAGACCAAAGCACCAGAAGATGGAGGTGGAGCCTCGTGAGCCTCCCCCAGCCTCAAACACTAATAATAGCCGTCAGATGTCACCGCGTTGCTGCGTCTCGTCTCTCCATCTCCTCCGTCGTCTTCGTCGGTCTGATCATCTTCTGCCCTGAACAGGATTAAACTCGTCACTAATCAGCTCACGTCTGTCGTTCTACTTTGTGGTTGAGAACCGGGTCAGATCAGAGCAGTGATCCTCCTCAGCCGATCAGCTCAGTCAGACCATGTTCACACCATGGTGCTGCAGCAGACCGGCCAGAGCTGCTGGAGCTGCTGGAGGTGCTGGAGGTGCTGGAGGTGCTGGAGGTGGGACCTCGGACCTCCACAGTTTGAAGAACTGGTTTATACTCAGTCGTACGGGTTGGAAGTCATCTGTTGTCCTTTAACCCGCCGTCTCTCTGTGTGTCTGCAGGACGATGCTGACGAAGGACAAGAAGCCGGACGAGAAGGAGGGCAAAGAGGCGCTGGAGGTCATCCCGCCCCGACCGGACACCCCCAAACTGTTCAAGGCGGCGCTGAAGGTGACGGAGCAGGTGGGCATCGAGGGAACCTTCTCCAAGCTAAAGGCGGTCTACAAATCAACCGACAGCCCGACACAGGTACCAGACCTCAGAGACCTTCAGCTTTACTTCCAGAAGCAGAGATGCTGCCTGCAGCCTGGTGGGGGCGGTCAAGAGCTGAGATCCTGCTGGAGCGCAGAGATGAAAAAAAATTAACGAGTGTCATTATTGTCTTTTCCTCCACTTTCGTCCCTGCCTTTGTCTTTCCTCTATGTCTCCACTCTTTGTTCCTCCATCTTGGTCTCCGTCCTTCACCTCCATCGTTGGCCCCGCCCCTTTCTTTCCTCCATCTTTGCTCCTCCATCGTTGGCCCCGCCTCTTTCCTTCTTCCATCTTTGTTCCTGCCCTTTGATCCTCCATCTTTGGCCCTGCCCCTTTCCTTCCTCCACCTTTGCCTCTCAGGCGTCGCCCGCCATGGCTCCGGTCCCGCCTCCATCTCCGATGCACCGGCGCTCTCCGGTCCCTCTGAGTCCGGCGCCACACGACGGACACGACATGGTGGCGGAGACGGCGGACAGCTCGGTGGTCATCAGGATGACGCCGCGGCAGGAAGGGGAGGAGCTTCTGTCCGTGGAGGTGCCGGAGAAGAAGGAGTGACCTGAAGAGCAGCTAGCGTCCTCCACCCGCCTCGTCTTCTCCTGAGGCCCAGCATGCCTTTCACCGACCGCCCAGCAGCAGACGAGGGCTCAGCTGGAGGACCTGCTTCTTCTTCTGTGGTGGATTTTTTTTTATCTCTTCTTCTTTCCTCTCGCTGCAGTTCATTCTTCCTTCTTCCCTTCTTCTTCTCTTCTCGGCATCCAAGTTACATGACAGGAAGGAAGGGAGGAAGGAGGTGAGAATGGAAGGGAGGAAGGTTGGAGGCAAGGAGGCAGGAAGGATAGGAAAGAAGGATGAACCAAAGAAGGAAGGGATAATGGAAGTAAGAAAGGAAGGATGGTTGGAAGGAAGGAAGGAAGGAAGGAAGGAAGGAAGGAATGGAGAAGGCAAAGCAAGGAAAGAAGGTGGAAAGGATGGAATGAATGAAAGAGGGAAGAGGAAACAAGGTAGGAAGTAAACAAGGAAGCAAAGGACCAAAGAAGAGAAAGGGAGGAAAGAAAGAGAAAACTAAGGGAGGAGGAAGGAGGGAAGGAAGGACGGAAGGAAGGATAGAGGGGATTAACCTTGTGACAGGCGTCTTGGGTGCAGTACCGCCTTTGGCCACACTCGCTGACTGACTGTAGCAGCCATTACAGCCCAGAGAGGCGCTGTTTCCCCGCTGTGGAGAAAGTCGTGTTTATACTCAGTTTCCCAGAGTTCTTAGCTTCTGTTCTGCTGCTTTGGTGCTTCTCAGCCACTTTGGCCTTCATCAGCTTTAGAGCGAGTAGAGCTGCAGCCTGAAGGTTCTGTAAATGAGCCAGTTAGTGTCCAGACAGTCGACCAGCAGATGTTTCCAGCTGTTCTCCTCTTCCTGATCCTGCTGTGAGCCGATCAGTAACGCCCGCCTCCCGCCGAGTCACTCTCAGTTTCCAGGTCATTCAGGAGCGACGGTGGAGGAGCAGCTGGATGGAAGTTAAAGGGTCAGTTTGTGTTTTTTTTGATGATGTTTGTCGTCGCAGCAGCAGTTTGTTTCAGTGGATCAGTCGGGACACGACCTTCAGATGATTCAGTTAAAGATAAAATAAGAAATGAGCCCCTTTATTGATTTTTCCATTTTAAACCACAAAAAAACAACAAACTAAAAAAAAAAAAAAAACAACCAAGAAGAAAATTAAGATGTTTTTTGTTTGTTTGTTTTTTTCATTTGAAACCAAAATTGAAAATCAAGAAAATGGTTCAATTCCTCCAGATTTCCCTGAACAAAGAGAATCTAACGGAACAAAATGAAAACAGCTCGTCTTTGGTTTTTGATCCAACAGATGAGAACTCAGGGCTTCTGTCCAGTTTAACCACAATCAAAAGGAAAACAGACAAACAACGGTCCTTTAACGTTTAGGATCAGATGAAACTACATGGAAAGCATCTAGTTGTTCTTGGTTTGGTTCAACCCAAAACCAACGAGGCTGGTTTCTAATTGTTCCGGTTTGGTGAAGCGACTGATTGTGTTTTAGTGTTCGACCCGCTGAGCTGCAGGAAGAGACGCTGAGCGTTTGTTAAATCACAGGAAGTCCTGAAGGAAGCTTCGTCTGTCGGCGGAGCGGCCGAGGAAACAAAAAAGGAGAAAAGGAAGGAAACGAAGCAGCACAGGAAGCTTCATCACGCCGCTGATTACTGACGGTAGAAGAAGAGTTTGTAGATCCGCTGAAGGTTCACGAGTTTCTACTGAAATCATCAGTTTGTAAATAAAGTTAAGTGAAACTGAACCGTGAGTCTGTGTTTAATATAAAACTGGTTGGAAATATTCACATTGGACAGATTTGTAGGAGGAATATGATGGAGGCTCCAGCTTCTGGGACAGCGCCACCTGCTGGACTGGATGACTGCAGAAGTGTCATTTTAAAGGTCCATTCCACCCAAATGGTGCTTTCTATCCAACAAAGTATGGATTAAAAGGTTTGTTCCATCCAAAATTCTAATTTCTCTCCAGACATTCGTAGTTTTAAAGGTTTGTTCCATCCAAAGCTCTACAGCGTTAGTTTGTAGTAAACAAGTGGTGCCATGTTATCTGGTTAAAAAAAGATTAATAAAAAAAATCAAAACAAACTTTATAACTAACAAGTTAAAGTTTTAAAGGTTTATTCCACCCAAATGGTGCTTTCTGTCCAAGTGCTGGTAGTTTTAAAGGCTTGTTCTGCTCAGACAGAACTTCCTCATCATGCAGTCGGTGTTTGTTCCACCTCCAGGTCTGAAGAATGACCTGCATTCTGTCTGGCAGCCAGCAGGGGGCGACACCGCTGGTTGCAAAAAGAACCTGGTTTGTTCCCTCAGTGAACGTTTTCCTGATGAGTTTATGGTTTCAGTGTTGAAAGCCTCCTTCCATACAACATGATGCAGTATTGAAACAAAACAACAACAACAACAGAGCGAGCCCTTCACCCATTGGTCACCACAGCCTCAGGCGGAGATGCTGTTCATCCCCCCATTGGCCAGTTTTGACAACACGCCCACTGTCAGTCACTCAGCAGCAGCCAATCAGGTTACAGTACCTGTGGAACTTCTGGAACTAAGAAAAAGAAAAAATGAACGAAAAAGAAGAATGATGATGAACAGGGAGGTCAGCCAATCAGGCGGCCTCGCTGTAAAAACAAACTGAAGGTGGGAGGAGCTTCCAGGCCTCTTAAGGAACTTATTCTTCTGGAATTTCTTTTTTTTTCTTCTTGTTTTTTCCTTTTTGTCCCAGTGTGACATGGTTCAGTGAGCTGTGGCTCCATCCAGAGGAAGCAGACGCTGGATGCTTCTCTGGTTCTGGTTCTGGTTCTGGTTCTGGTTTTTCTGCATCTGCAGCAAGTTTTTACGCAAACTTTAAAAAAGAAAATCTTCGTTTGCTGCTTTTCTGTCTTTCTGTCGTCACATTAACTGTTCAGTCTTCTTCTGTTTCTGCTTCAGATTTTTATTCTGAGGAAAGTTACAGGAAAAACTAAACTGTGAACAAACGCTGAGGAAACGTTGCTGCAACCAAACAGAAGCTCTGCATGTGTTTATTAAAGCGTAAAACACACGTTGAGCTGCTCATCTGAACCACAGGGGGGCGCTGGTGGTGTGTGTGTGTGTGTGTGTGTGTGTGTGTGTGTTTCATCTGTCTGGTGTTGTAGTGACGCTGCCTTCAGGGACAACTCGGAACTCTCAGCTTCTTTTTCACTGCGCAGAACTTTTGGTGCTTTCGGGCAGAAACTGGACCTTGAAGTGAGCAGAGGTCCCAGTTCGAGTTGTTTCATGGAGGACTGACTTCAGCAGAGTCCAACTGGATCATTGTGTTGCACATTAAAGGTGACTAGATCCACAAATCCCTGCTGCTGGTTCTGAAATGCCCCAAAACTCATCACCACTGAAGTCTTGAGTTTAATCCGAAGACAAACTGCAGTTGAACCGAACTTTTGTTTGTTCAGATGAAGCTACACGTTGGAGGTGTTTCTAGTGAAGTCAGAGCTGATGTTTGCTCAGAAACTAGAACCAGAGGCGGCGGCCAAAGGGCAGCTGCAGGCGGATGGATACGCTGCTGATCAACAACAAGTAGTTCCAGTGAACACGCTGCCTTCAGGTGCTGCTACCTGTCAGTGACCTTCATCTGACTCTGTTCCTGTTTTTAAACGTTGTTTAAACTCATGTTCAGGTGTTACGTATTTAAAAAAGATTAAAAAATGAACTTTTTCTTTCATTCTTGATTCTTTCTGTGTTTTTGTTCACGTTTAAAAAAAATCATTTATTCAAAAACAAGCTTTTGTCTTGAAGCAACTAATTCAGCTCAAAGTGAAAAAGAATGAAACGATCCAACTGACAGAATGTTAAACTGATGCAGCCAATCACATCACAGCCTCCTTTATTATATTTAGTTTGTTAAGTTCTGATAAATCCAGAGGAGACGGTTAGAAAGTAATCCCTACAGTAGTTGAGTAAATGTACTCAGTTACACGAGTCAGGGTTCATTTGTAAAGAACATTTAATAGTAAAGGAGTGAACGTAATAAAACACTGAATTAAAGCCCAAACTGGACAAAACAATAAGCAGCAGAACCTGGACCAGAACACCAGATTGGATCAGCTGATAGCAGAATCAGATTATCACTAAATAAAGTCATTTGTTGTATCTGAGGCTGTTTATTGGTGTTGTTTCCCTCTGACCCGCCCTCCGCTATAAAACAGCTGCTGCCTTCTGCTCATGCGCACACAGTCCCCACATGTCCGACGGTCCGTGAACGCAGCACCGGTCACCGTCAGTTTTGCCGCGGAGCAGCGACACGTTAACGGCCTCCGGTGCACCGACCGCAGTCTGCTGGAGCCCGTTCACCGGCCGTCCGGCTCCGACAGGCAGGATCCAGCGGGAAGACCCAGGACCGGAGGAACCGGAGGAACCGGAGGAGTCGCTGCCGGGACCCGGAGGTAAGAAACCCGCTTCCTCCAAACTTTCCCTCCGTCAGTCTGTCTGCGGGTTTAGCGGCGCTGTGAGGACCGACAGCTGTCAGCGGGGCTCCGAGTCCCTCTGCCGGCAGGGAGCCTCCTGTCCGGCCGGTGGAGCCTCCTGTCCGGCCGGTGGAGCCTCCGGTCCGGCCGGTGGAGCCTCCGGTCCGGTGGAGCCTCTTGTCCGGCCGGTGGAGCCTCCTGTCCGGTGGAGCCTCCGGTCCGGCCGGTGGAGCCTCCTGTCCGGTGGAGCCTCCGGTCCGGTGGAGGCTCCTGTCCGGCCGGTGGAGCCTCCTGTCTGTCCGGTGGAGCCTCCGGTCCAGCTGGCCGAACCTCTCTGCGGCCTCCAGCAGCTTCCACCGCTTCAAAGCTTTTCATCCGGACAATGGGCTCACCTGTCCACGTGCCGGTCTCCATGGAGACGGTGACGGGACAATGTCCTGATGACACAAACAGGCCACAGGTTGGACTCAGCAGATTGTCCTGATGAAGAGCAGCTCAGAGGAACCGGGTCTGGGTCAGTCAGAACATCAGATAGACGGGGAGCAGAGTCCAGACGGACCTCTGACCAGCAGAACCAACCCAGCGGTTCCGTCACTGTCAGCAGATTCTCTCTGTGGATCCAAAGCATCCAGAAAACCAGCAGCAGAGTCACACTTTACCCCAAACACATCAAGTTAATGGTTCAGAACCTGCAGAACCGAGTCGGTCAGTTTCTGATCAGCACACTCAGAACTTACTGAAAATATTTAGATTTTAAAAACAGACTGAACCAACAAAAGCCCAAAGTGTCAGCCGGTTCTGCCACTGTGCACCACTTAGACCGGCAGACCTGATGCTGGTGCCTCAGAAGGTCCAGTGAGAAGGTCCAGTCAGGAGGTCCAGTCAGGAGGTCCAGTCAGAAGGTCCAATCAGGAGGTCCAGTCAGACGGTCCAGATGGAGGTTCTGTTAGAAGACCTGAGGATCAAAACCAACACTAGTAGTCTCAGCTCTCTCATGATTTGCTCCAAAAAGTGTCAGAAAACTGAACTGGATCAGTTTAGGTTCTGTTCACGGGTTCTGTCCCGTCTAGACTCCCCTGATCATGGAGGTTCTGGTTCTGATGATGCAAACTTCAGCTGACGGGTGGATCGTGTACTTGTGCAGCTCTGCTAGTGGTTGTTTTGCCCATTTGAAGCCAGTTCTGGTCTCTGTGCTCCAAACGGTTCCTGTCATCGTTTTAAATGGACTCCTGGTTCTTCTGGTTCTTGTGGTTCTTCCAGAATGAGCTGATTTATTTATTTGCATCTTTATTGTAACTGAATCAAACCAACAGCAGCTGGACTGGTACCTGAAGTCTGTTGTTCTGGCTGCAGATGGTCTGGAGGTCCGTCGTTGTTGTTGTTGAGCGACTCTTTGGTTGGTCTGGGTTCTGGAGCCGACGTTTGGTCGGTCCGGGTTCTGGAGCCGACGTTTGGTCGGTCTGGGTTCTGGAGCCGACGTTTGGTCGGTCCGGGTTCTGGAGCCGACGTTTGGTCGGTCTGGGTTCTGGAGCCGACGTTTGGTCGGTCCGGGTTCTGGAGCCGACGTTTGGTCGGTCTGGGTTCTGGAGCCGACGTTTGGTCCGACTGATGTGTTCCTGATCAGCATGTGTCGTAGCAGCTGGTGTTTTCACTGTCATGCTCCAGATCAGCTGTTTCTGGGTTTTATTCCGTTTAATTATTAGTTTTTATCCGGATGAAGTCGTTCCTTTAAACTTATTTATTATCTGATGTGTGTTTTTTAAATTGTGTCATAATTAATAATAATAATAATAATCAGTAAAACGAGGACGCGTGTTTGATGAGTTTCTGTACCTGACAGTGAGCCATGGTGTTAATCAAAACCTGATCAATAGACCTTATATCCATGAGCTCATACTGATATCGCTAACATCTGTAGCTACGTTAGCTCAGTTCATTAGCTGCTATGATGGACTTTGGTTTGTCCCAAACACCAGAGTTCTGGTTGGAGGTCCTGAACCTCCTCAGAGTCTCTGTCATGGTCCCGTTGCTGCTAAACTCCCACAATGCTCTCTGCTGCCACCAGGAGCTGTAGTCTGTAGACGCCTCCTCTGGTCTCTACAGGGTTAGACAGGAAGAGGCTCCACCTGGTGGAACAACCAGGTACTGCAGCTGGTCTATGGTTCGTTTACTGACGTCACGACCTGCTTTTGTCTTATCAGTTAATATATTTTTGATTAGTTGAAATACTAACGATAATTAGCTGATGAACCAATAATCATCCCCCAGAGTTCAATAGTTAAATACAAAATAAACCTTTTTGGTCTTTATTAGAAACACGTCGTTAGGATGATCCATGTGACCAATCAGAGCAGCTGCAGCGATGCTCAGTTTAAATGTTCTGGTGGATGCTAAGCTAACTTTATGCTAACTTTATTCGTCTGTTCATGAGCAGAATGTTGAAACTGTTTCAGCTCCAGCAGCGAGTCTGAAAGCAGCCTGCTGCTGCTGCTGTTGATGGAAACTCTGAGCGTCATAAAAGCTGCAGATGGTGAACATGTGACGGCTGCTGCAGACTGGATGTGATTTAGAGCTGCTGGACGTCTCCTGCAGGAGCTCCAGAGCTGCTGCTGCTGCTGGGTGTGTCTGCTCTCTGACCGCCGCTCTGCTCTATAAATACTCCTTCTTTGTCGCGGAGGCCGAAGCTGCAGCGGCCACATCACTGAGGAAGTCCTCGTCATGCTGCAGCGACGTGGAAGAAACAAACCTTTAACCCTTCGGCCTCCGGCTTCCTCCTCTGAAGCCAGAAAGCATCTGTGTGGAGCTGTTTCTCCTTCAGCACCTCATTTCTATTCCGTCTTTCTCTGCTAGACACAAACACAGAAACTTATTTTAATACACGAGCAGAAGAGGCAGCAGCTAGTGATTATAATCTGTGTTCATCAGATGTTTGGTCTGTAGAATGTCAATAAAACGGTGGAAGATGTCTGGTTTGGTCTGAAGATACTCAGGTTGTAGAGGAGAAAACGATAAAATAATAACATCGAAGAGGCTCTAACAGTTTTTATTAATGTTCAAACAAATTACGTGATTCTCAAAATGACTTTAGCTGTTTGGTTAGTTC